CTACTCCTGTTCTATTTGTCAGAAAGTTGATATTCCATTTGCTTACTTTCCTCGTGATACTTTTTGTCCTCATCGTTCATGCGATTAATCTATGATCGCGTTTGTTAAATGCCTTTGCGAAATCCACGTCTGCCCCATCTGCAATTTGAATTTCTTCTAATGCCTCCGAAATCCTGTTATAATGGTTTAGTGGTTATGTGAAGCATGATCCTCTCGCATCAGTGGTTTCAATACCTGGGTTCTATTTACTGCTAGGTGAACAGGGGAGGCAGGTGTTTGGAGAAGCAAACACCTCGGATCACCTGGAGTTGAAACAAGTCGTTTGTTTGTGAGTTGGTATGGAACAGTGATGGTGGGAGGGGAGAGAAAGAGGGAGAGTAGACGAAGAGTTAGGGTAGGTGGGAGGGAATATTCAGAGGGAGGGGTGATAAGGAGGGAAGGAGGTAAGATCCTTGAGACAATAATCTCAAGACAAATGACAGAGTTTTTTGACTATCACTCACTACTTTGTGATCGTCAATATGGCTTCAGGAAAGGTTACTCTGCTGCTGATCTGTTGTTAAACCTCTCCACTAAGTGGCACCAGTCACTGGATGAATCCAAAGTCAGCTGTGTGGTAGCACTGGACATTGATGGCGCTTTCGACCGGGTGTGGCACCAGGGCCTCTTAGCAAAACTTCAAGCACTGGGAATTGCAGGCTCTACGCTATGTCTCCTCAGTGATTACCTTCATGGTAGATCTCTAAGTGTAGTTCTCAATGGAACGGAATCAGCAAGACATCCTGTTGGGGCAAGTGTTCCACAAGGAAGCGTGCTGGGACCATTGTTATGGGATGTCTACTTCAACGACCTTCTTCATCTCATCCTAGAATCACATGCATATGCAGACGACTGCACACTGACATTCACTTATCCAAGAGAAGAAATGCCAGCTGCTCTAAGCTACATCAATCACCAGCTGAGAGCTATATCAGCTTGGGGAAATAGATGGCAAGTAACATTTGCACCTGAGAAAACGTAAATGATGATCGTCTCTAGGCACCATGATGGTAATGTTGGTGCAGTAGTAAGGATGAATGGGAGGGTGTTGGCACCTGGAGAAGAAGTTGATATTCTTGGGGTGAAATTTGACTCCAAACTAACCATGAAGAACCATGTTGTAAATCTTGCAAACAAGGCAGCCAGGAAGCTTACAGCACTTCGCCGTATCTCGCATCTACTTGACAGTAGGGGTTGCAAGATTCTGTACGAGGCACAAGTACGCTCGCACCTTGAGTATGCTCCACTTTCTTGGTTTGCCTGCCCCCCCCCTCTCATCTGCGACTGCTTGACAGAGTAGAGAACAGAGCAAGACGTCTCATCTCTCGCCTGGACCCATCCTGGATAGATCTGTCATTTCAGGAGAGCCTTCAACATAGGAGGGATATGGGTGGCCTTACTGTTATGTACAAGGCCAATATTGTCAAAGTACCACACTTGGATTCACTTCGAGGACAGCGTGAAACAAGCTTTTATGCCACAAGACGGGCAGAAAGCAGCAACTTCACTCTGGCTGTACCCTTCTCCAGAACTTCACTCCATCTGAGATCCTATATACCCAGGATGACTCGAGTATGGAACACATTCGTACAGCATAATGATGTCAACGAGATAAAGTCAGTTGATCAAATGAAAATGCTGGCCCACAGATGACTCCAACTTCATTTTGTTCCCTACTTGTATGTCTCATAACAATAAAAATGCTTTCAAATGAGCTGATGTAGGTAACAGCTCTTAGCTTGCCAATAAAGTTAGGAATCCTTAACCTGTAAATAGCTTGTCAATAAAGCTAGGGATCCTTAACCTTGTCAAACCCTGTGTAAAAAAAAAAAAAAGGATGGGGAAAGGGAGGGAAGAGGAAGAGAGAGTAGGCTAGGAATGAAGGTGGGAGGGATGAGAGGTATCAGGAGGGAGGTTGTCAGCAGGTGATGGAAGCAGGTGTCATCAGTTAGCGACACAGAGGTGGCAGGTGAGTATTAAATCTCTCTCTCTCTCTCTCTCTCTCTCTCTCTCTCTCTCTCTCTCTCTCTCTCTCTCTCTCTCTCTCTCTCTCTCTCTCTCTCTCTCTCTCTCTCTCTCTCTCTCTCTCTTTCTATCTTTCTCTCTGTCTTTCTCACCACCGTCAGCCAGGCGTCAGTATAAAACTTTCTTGCTGTCAATTATTATTATTATTATAATCAAGGGGAAGCGCTAAACCCGGAGGATTATACAGCGCCTGGGGGGGAGGGATGTGGAAGGTATTCAGGCTTAATTCGGGGAACTGGAGCACAGATCCAATTCCCTAAATCAAGAGCCCCTCACCAACATCAAGGAACCTTCCTTGAGGGGTCTTGCTGTCAAGCTAATGTTATAGTTGTCAGCGGCTGCTCTATCTGACAGCTATATCAGCAGCTGACAGAGTAACACCTGCTGATATATAGCTATCAGTCGTTACTATGGCTGTCAGCTCCTGCTCAAGCTGTCAAACTGCTGCTCTGTCAGCTCTCACTCTAGTTGTCAGCTGTCAATGTCTTGTCCCTTCAGAGGGGAAATCCCTTAATGCTGAGGAAGAGTTCTTAATACGAGGAATTCGAGCTGCCTTTAACCTCCTGCTGGCAAGATTATTTTCCACTCCCCAGACGCTGTTCCACACCCTTGCAGGTTTATCGCTTCCCCCAAGACAATGATAATAGTCCAGTCTAACTCGACACACACACACACACACACACACACACACACACACACACACACACACACACACACACACACTGGCGAGGCCAGGAGCTGTGACACGACCCCTGCAACCACAAACAGGCGAGTACACGCCCCTAAAAAAAACTCATTAACCCCGCACCCCCTAATAACACCGAATTTATATATTTCGAATTGAAATAAATGTATATTAATTTGAGCTCGAAATATACATTTTCCAGGACAACAAAGACACTTAAGAAGAGAATTAATCCAAGAAAGACCATTCAGTAGCTAGAATTGTGTTAGTTTCCCGTCATTTAAACACTAATTGCGCAGTTAACGTTGCTGAGAGACGCGGGTTGTTACGTTAGTTCATTTATTTTTAATATCTCGGTGATGTGAAGTTCAAGGATGGTGTGTGTGTGTGTGTGTGTGTGTGTGTGTGTTTTATCAAAATTTTCTGATATTCCTCAAAGTTGTGTTTTTTTTAGGGTGGTATTGGTGGTATGGTAGGTGAGGGGCAGGTGAGGGCCAGGTGAGGGCCAGGTGAGGGCCAGGTGAGGGCCAGGTGAGGGCCAGGTGAGGGCCAGGTGAGGGCCAGGTGAGGGCCAGATGGCCATGGCTCCACCTGCCCTCGTTGAGATGAGGCAGGTGAGGGCAGGTCACCTTAATTAGCTCTGCTGCAAGAGACACCTGCCTCTCACCCTCCCTCCCTCCTTTCCTCCTTCCCTCTTTCCCTCCCTCCCTCCCTCCCTCCCTCCCTCACAACATCTGCCATCAACAACGACTTGTGATTGGACAGCGGCTCGCCACCTGATGCATGGGAAGAAAAACACTTGTGCACATTTTGAAACCAAAATTACCTATAGAGGACCTGGGAGGTCTTGGCAATGTACATGTCTCCCGACATGGGTCTGTCAGATGACACGATAACACAACACACACACACACACACACACACACACACACACACACACACACACACACACACAACATATATATATATATATATATATATATATATATATATATATATATATATATATATATATATATATATATATATATATATATATGTCATCATGCCATCTGACAGACCCATGTCGGAAGACACTTCTGTGTCCCCGGTGAGTCAATCCGTCGCTCGTGACGCAATACGTCACACTGTCGAGTGAGTCAAATGTCCAGCGCTCGGCCATCTTTATTAAATACAGTAAAGATACCCAAGTGTTGCAGATGTGTCTTATTGGTGTACTTGTGCCTATTATGGCCACCAGTGTAAGAATGGGCTCCATTATGACCCAATTTTTTTCTTCAAAATCCGCGACCTTACTCAAAATGTACTGACCTCCCCGTCTGCCTTTTATTTTATTTGAAATAAATCTGGGTACATCAGCAATGTGCTGCTACTTTATTCTTGATTGTAGTTACACACTAGGAGTATTGGCTTTTTGTCCCTGTTATATCCCAGGGAGAGGTGGTTGAGGGGGAGGGGATGTGGTTGAAGGGGAGGGGAGGTGGTTGAGGGGGAGGGGAGGTGGTTGAAGAGGAGGGGAGGTGGTTGAGGGGGAGGGGATGTGGTTGAGGGGGAGGGGAGGTGGTTGAGGGGGAGGGGAGGTGGTTGAAGGGGAGTGACGGTGGTTGAAGGGGAGGGGAGGTGGTTGAGGGGGAGGGGATGTGGTTGAGGGGGGGGAGGTGGTTGAGGGGGATGGGTTGAGGGGAGGGGAGTGGTTGAGGGGGAGGGGAGGTGGTTGAAGGGGAGGGGAGGTGGTTGAGGGGGAGGGGAGATGGTTGAGGGGGAGGGGAAGGGCGCGGGACGCATGCGTCGGCCCACCACCTGCCGCAGAGGAATGGAGGTCCGCCGTAGGCAGCTGCGAAGGACATCCACTGCCTAGTGAGGAGGTGGTGGAGGAGAGGAGAACGAGGAAGAGGAGGTGGTGGAGGAGAAGAAGGAAGAAGGCGAGTTGGAGGGGAGGAGGAAAAAGAGGAAGAGGAAGAAGAATAAGAAGAAGAAGAGAAGAAGGTTTTTTGTTTGAGCAACAAAATTATTTAAAAGATAATTTAATTATATTGGTTGTTAATTATTAATAAGTATAACTGAAAGAGGAATAAGAGGAGAAACACCAATAAACGTGATAACAAATATAGTAGTAATAATGCCAATTTCTTTATTAGAGGTAATTATTACTGTTGCTGTAAATACATTAAAGTTGGTCACTAAAATACAGTATTATCACACAGAAGGCAGCAACAGTATCAACAACTGGTAGCAGCGTCAGGAGTAGCAGCGTCAGGCGTAGCAGCGTCAGGAGTAGCAGCTGCGGTAGTGCGTGCGTCTCAGGTGCGTCAAGAGGAACGCATGGCTAGGCTGGAGAGGCGCACTGACAGCCTTGACTTCGCTCTCACCCGCACTCAGAAGAAGGTACCAATGTTGCTGTGTTGAAGGAGGGGAAAGGGGGAGGAAGAGAAACGCTAAATCCTTAAGGAGGAAGGGGAAGGAGTCACCATGCAGCCCTTGGGGGAATAGAGGGTTGATGTGGTTTGATCTGAGGAAGGGGTTTTATTTCCGGGATGAGAGGGGAAGGGTCAAGATCCCTTGGCTAATTCTTATGCCTGGGTCATTGAGCCTGGTGTGAAATGGACAGGTAGTGAGTCAACACATTATAGACACATAAACAGAGCAAAACTTCATTAAAAAATAGACGTTTCGCACAGCGAGAACTTTTTCTCGCTCCCACTGATTGATGTGTTCTTTTTATATTATTTATTTACCACTCTCTTTTGTTAATTCGGAAAAAAGATCTGAGGAGTTTCCCTAGTATTTAGTAATTTATTGTGTTTATTTATAAGTTAAGGTTCTAATTTGAAAATGTTGTAAAAATTTACTGCATAGTCTCGTGAAAAAAATTGAGGTTTAATAACGTTTCATTTTCTGCTGACAGTTGTCGTCGTTGTCACCGGCCTCAGGGATCGACCAGCGAGTTGCGGAAATCACTGAAGCAGAGCGACAACTGGAGACGAGAGTGGAAGCCGCAACGACCGGTGTAGGAGAGGTTAAGTCGTCCTCTGTAAAGCTCTTAGCGGCCCTGGAGGCTCTGGAGGCCAGGATGGAGAAGGAGGTGGCGGAAGTAAGGCAGGAGGTGGCCAAGATGGAGTTCACAGTGGGCCAGTCCGCGGCGGAACGACAGAGTGGCCAGGAAGATGCTCGCGTGGCCCATGACGACACCTCCGCCTTGCGGTCCGACTTACAAGTTGTGTCGCGGCACCTTGAAGATCTCACTCTCAAGACAGAAGCGCTGGAGGGTCGTAAGCTCGAGGACGATGTGATCCTGGCACAGTGCCGCTCCCAACAGCTTTCCTTCGACATCAGACTGAACGATGCCTTACAGCGCCTCCAACAGGTGGAGCAGCGACTGCGTCGCCACCACCCTCAAGATGGTCATAAGTACCATCTGCCGAAGTGGAGTGACGCACCGGGAGACGCACGGAAGAGACGACGTCGAAGTCTGTCCCCGAGCGGCTAGTGCCCAGGACGGAAAGAGGAGAGGCACCGTGCCAATACGTCACATTAACATAAATCTTCATAAAGTAACATGATCCACCGGTCACAGATACTCCCAAAGCAACATGATCCGTTGGTCACAGATATTCTCAAAATAGCATGTTCAACTGGTCACAGATACTCTCAAAATAGCATATTCTACTGATCAGAGACACTCCCGAAATAACACGATCTTCGGCCACAGACAGTCTCGAAGTAACATGTTCCTCTGGTCAAAGATACTCTCGAGGTATCATGATCCACTAGTTACGGATGTATGCCAGTGCCTGCAGCCGCAGAACCCACTTCAGCAGCACCGGTGGCGGCTGATACGAAGAGAGTTTAATCTTCATCAAGACAACGTCTCGCTCAAGGGGAGCTTTATAGTGATTTGATAAAGCTCTCCTCGAGGTGTCTCCGTGGAGTAATGCTTGGCACTGTGTCTTCGACCAGCGGCTGTGAAACCAGCCTCACTGTCCTACCTTCAGTGTAAGTCCCTACCTCCCCCTCATAAGCACTTCACCACATTCGAAATAATCATTGACTTCCTCCACACCCCTACATGTTTCACGTCTTGCTACCCCAACCATCAATCGTTTTATACACGTTTCCTCCATCACTCCCCCTACGATGTTCCCTCCATCATGTCCCTACGATGTTTCCTCCATCATGTCCCTACGATGTTCCCTCCATCATGCCCGTACGATGTTCCCTCCATCATGTCCCTACGATGTTCCCTCCAGCACACCCCTGCCATCCTCACCGTAGTGCCTGAATGAACGATTTGGTCATTAGTTCCTAGTCACAGGAGAAAAAGAATGAAATATATATATAGAGAGAAATATATATAATTTTATGAGTAATTGGATGTATATAAAAATGTACTTTGTTTTAAAGCTTGGCTGCCCAAAATCTTTGTTTCTTAACTTATACTCGCCTTTTGTCAACTATCAAATTGTTGACTTGTAGGAAAAACAAAGCCACAAGCATTTACTGGGACAACGTTTTACTCTGGGCAGAACTTTATCAGACTATGATAAAGCTTTGAACAAATCGAAACATTGTCGTACTAAAAAAATTGTTCTGTATCGTGTGTCATTTGTTTTTATAACTGTTGGCGATATGACAGCTGTTCCCAGGGTGCTCGAGTCGATTCACTTCCACACAGTACCACCAGCGCTCTACAACGTTGCGAAACAGACGCATTTTGGGAAGCCTCAGCTGGGTTGTATAGTGTAGGGTTATGTCGCTGCTGTATGCCAAGTGTGTGTGTGTGAAAGAGAGAGTAGTGTGTGTATTCATCTAATTGTGGTTGCAGGGGTCGAGTCGTAGCTCCTGGCTCCTGTGTGTGTGTGTGTGTGTATGTGTGTGTGTGATGTCTGTTTCTGTGTCTCAGTCTCTGTCGTCCCTTGTGTGGTGGTGGTGTGTGTGTGTGTGTGTGTGTGTGTGTGTGTGTGTGTGTGTGTGTGTGTGTGTGTGTGTGTGTGTGTGTGGTGTGAGTGTGCATGTGCGTGTGTGTGTGTGTACTCACCTAGTTGAGGTTGCAGGGGTCGAGTCCGAGCTCCTGGCCTTTGTGTGTGTGTGTGCGCGCGCGCGCTAGTGTGTGTGTGTTGTTTGTAGAACTAACATTATATTTGATCTCGGAATTCTGTATTAATAAACGAGGAAATGAAGATGCGCTTCATATGTTTATCGTGCTGGCCATCGCTTCATCTTGTAACAATAAATGACTCGCAGTGAAGCAAAGACCATCTGGATAAGGTACTGAAGGTCGAAAATCTCGAATACTCTCGCCAAGGATATATGCGCAGAGAAGCGTCTCTCTCAGTGAATATACGCTGAGAGTTTACCTTAATCCATATGTTAAGGATTACTGTAACCCTGGCTAGTGCACAGGTGACATGCAACTGATGGTCCTCGTGCAGTCGATAAGCTTTAAACCCAATAGAGTTGGCTTCATGCATATGCGGAAGTGAAAGCGTACAGGTGTGTATTTACTGATGATTTAAAGTGTATTCCATCTTAAGTTCGTCCCTAGAGGGGATCACACAAGTGTATTAAAGCGAAGATGTCCAGCAAGGAGTACTACTGGAAACGGACATTACGTGAGTGTCTCAAAGTGACATACTCTCAGAAAATGGTATGGTTCTCTAAAAATCACTTCCCCTTAGTGCCTCGTAAAGTGTATTCCTGGCATAGCTGTGCCATTGTCTCCAGTGTGGCACTTGTCCAGGGTGAGCCCTGGACATGGTATAAGAAGATAAAATCAGCAGTGTCCTAGTCTTGCCTGATGTGTCCTGGGTTCACCTCAGGGCGGACCTGGGCTCCCTGGCGGGTGTAGGACACCCGCTTCTGCCGCAGGCAACGCCGCAGTGTAAGATATGCAAAAGGCTAAGCCGTTTTGCGCCGTGTACATAGTGTACATATGTATGTTCTCTGTACATAATATTTTTATATGTTGAATAAAAATTGATCCAGTGATTAGTTTTTATTTCCTTATTTTAATATAATGAAAAAATGAGCATTTAGGGCAAATTAGATTAATTTTGTTCCCAGGATGCGACCCACACCAGTCGGTTAACACCCAGGTACTTATTTTACTGATAGGTTCCTTAAGGAAACACGCCCAAATTTTTCCACCCGTACCAGGGATCGAACCATGGACCTCAATGTGTGAACTGAGTGCGCTACCAACCGAACTGATGAATCATACAATCAGCTGATGAATCACACAATCAGCTGATGAATCACACAATCAGCTGATGAATCACACAGTGCTGAACTAGAATATGAAACTAGATACAGGTATCTAAGTTCTGAGGTCCCACTACCCGGACCTGTTGTAACAAGACTTTGTCACCACTACGAAGAAGAGTTGAGAGCGCTTGTAGTTAGGTAGGTTTCATTCCAGGTGCGGTGCTTATGTTAAAATTGTAAAAATTTTAGTTATATTACATCATTGGTTGATCATGACGCGCCACTACTTGTTCTTGTGTCTAACTGGAAGCTTGGAGGGCTGAAAAAACTGCAGAATGAAGCAATAAGGATCATCCTAGGATGTCCTCGTGCTGCCACAATTCCAAATATGCGGAAAGAATTTGATATCCCAAGCATCAGAGATCGTGTCACATACCGAGTGTTCTTTGGTCGATTCCTGACCGGGTGGAAACGCTGGGCGTGTTTTCTTACACCTGTTGCCCCTGTTCACATAGCAGTAAGTAGGTACCTGGGTGTTAGTCGACTGTTGTGTGTCGCACTCAAATAAGCTGAGGTAGGATAACAGCTCTTAGTCTGTAATATTGACGTGTAAAAAATACTACTATTATAGTAGAAGGTGGCCCGGTGGCCCGGTGGCCTGGTGGCCTGGTGGCCCGGTGGCCCGGTGGCCCGGTGGCCCGGTGGCCCGGTGGCCCGGTGGCCCGGTGGCCCGGTGGCCCGGTGGCCCGGTGGCCCGGTGGCCCGGTGGCCCGGTGGCCCGGTGGCCCGGTGGCCTGGTGGCCTGGTGGCCCGGTGGCCTGGTGGCTAAAGCTCCCGCTTCACACACGGAGGGCCCGGGTTCGATTCCCGGCGGGTGGAAACATTTCGACACGTTTCCTTACACCTGTTGTCCTGTTCACCTAGCAGCAAATAGGTACCTGGGTGTTAGTTGACTGGTGTGGGTCGCATCCTAATGGAAATAAGTTAGACAGTCCTCGATGACGCACTGACTTTCTTGGGTTATCCTGGGTGGCTAACCCTCCGGGGTTAAAAATCCGAACGAAATCTTATCTTATCTTACCTAAAAAAAATAATTGTCAAAATTTATAGTTACCCCTTAAAAATTAGTTTTCTTTGAATTCAACAAACTTCTAAAATAAGAAAATTGTGAACCGAAGCAGTTACTATTTTTCTCTTGACACAATATTAACCTCATCGCTGATTAAGTAAGTTTATTTAGGTACAGATACAAATGAGTACAGTTATCATACATAGTTTACGGTGCCCCGTGACCTGGTGGAAAAAGCTCTCGCTTCACACGGTGAGAGTCCGGGTTCGATTCCCGGCAAGGGTAAAAACATTGGGCGTATTTCCTTACACCGGTTGTTTATGTTCACCCATCAGGAATAATAGGTACCTGGGTGTTAGTCGACTGGTGTGGGTCGCATCCTGGGACAAAACTGACCTAATTTGCTCGAAATGCTCTGCATGACAAGGGTTAGTTAGTTAGTTAAAGATTAGCCGTATTCTCCCGGCCCGGGCCTTTTCCAAGTGGTGGCCCGGCCTTGGCTCCCTCTTTAGGGAGTGTCTGAGACCTAAGTCTCCCATGGGAGGAGGCACAAGTACCTCCTCATCTTTGGGACCAACTGTCCCCAGACCTAGCCACAAGCTAGGCCTCTCTGGTCTGCCATCCCCGCCCCAAGGGGGCAAATGGGAATGACAGTCTTATGAGCTAAAGACTCGGGCTCAGGCACCTACCCTACCCTCATGACAAGGGACTTATTATATTATTATTATTATTATTATTATTATTATTATTATTATTATTATTATTATTATTATTATTATTATTATTATTATTATTATTATGTGTGTGTAAATTACCTAGAATTTAACGTGTGCAAATTATTTAGAATTTACACACATGTTAAATTCCAGGTAATTTACACACATGTTAAACTATGTATGCTAACTGTACTCATGTATACCTGTACCTAAATAAACTTATCTAATCAGCGACGAGGTTAATATTTTGTCAATAAAATAAAAATAGTTACTGCTCCTTATCTTCATTTAGAAGTTTGTTCAATTTAAAGAAAACAGTTTTTAAGGGATAACTATAAATTTTTACTATGATTTTAATTTAAGGTCCCATAATAGTAGGTAAAGTAAGTATAAGTAATAGGTAAACGTAAGTTTACCTAGTAAAGCCACTCACCCAGGTACCTACTTACACGCCCAACGTTTCACCCGTGCCGGGGATTGAACTCCGGTCCCTCATAGTGTGAGCTGAGGCTGCTATTAACCGAGTCACGAGTATGAGAGGAAAACTATCCTACGTAATGGTGTGTGATAGGAAAGAAAAACATCCTGTGTGATGAGTTACGACAGGAAAATCATTCTGTGTGATGGAGTATGATAGGAAAATCATCCTGTGGGATGAACTTTTTTGGCAAACAGTTATTAACTCAAACGGCAATAAATCACACTGACTTTAGTGAGTTATTCTGGGTTATCCTGGGATAAATCTACTCTAGTGTATCACTATTACATACGTAAAGCATCCTTGTATCCTCAAATCATTCTTTGTCTCGCTCAACAACCTATGTATATATATATATATATAATATATATATATATATATATATATATATATATATATATATATATATATATATAATATATATATAATCTTCATTCGGAGCATGTTAACACACTCACATAGGCTGCCTCACCAACCAGCGAACGAGATGGTAAGGGTCGGACGATCGGGGCCCCATCGCCAGATCAGTGTCCAGGTTCGGCCAATGAGAAGGGGGACCTGGCAATTGTGAAGGTGACGTGGTTACCACTCATGTTTTCATTCTTGTCATTTCCATTCTAGAGCTGGTTGAAGCATGGTCTGTTTTTTATTGGCTTCAATTTTACTTTGATTACCGTGGCGTCCACTAATATCTATTGCTGTACATAGTGGATATAGTGTACATACTGTTGTTTATACTTGATGAAGGATAATATAATTCAAAGTTTTTTTGCTGTGTTCATTTTGCTCCTTTTACACCCAGGATAACAGGCCTTTGAGTACCTGAGTTGTAATATAGGTTGTGATCAAAGCTGTGGCAGCTCCAGAATATCTATACAAGAGGTCCTGATAAAAGACAAATGCATTATAATACGATCATTTATTGACGAGGTTTCCGTGTTCTTTATTGTTTCAAAAACAGATAAACCTGGAAGAGGAGGATGAGCCTCTATATAGGTAACAAAGCGAGGCGAAAAGCCTTCATCTTCTTCTTCTTCTTCTTCTTCTTCTTCTTATTGTTATTATTATTATTATTTTTATTATTATTATTATTATCATTATTATTATTATTATTATTATTATTATTATTATTATTATTATTATTATTATTATTATTATTATTATTATTATTACTATTATTATTACTATTATTATTATTATTATTATTATTATTATTATTATTATTATTATCATCATCATCATCATCATCATCATCATACAAGAGGAATCAATTGTTTCATAAGAGGAAGGGGAAGATAGCTTCAGTTTCTGGATATAAGAGTCCTTCCCGATCAAGAGTTCAACTCTTACCTTCTCCACGAAAGAGGGAAAGAAAACTCTCAAGTAATAACTAGCTAGCTTAACATTATTATTGTATTTCCCATCAGTCAGTAACACTCACACACACTGCATCAGTCAGTAACACTCACACACACTGCATCAGTCAGTAACACTCACACACACTGCATCAGTCAGTAACACTCACACACACTGCATCAGTCAGTAACACTCACACATTGCATCATCAGTAACACTTCAACACACACTGCATCATCAGTAACACTCACACACACTGCATCAGTCAGTAACACTCACACACTGCATCATCATATACAACTCACACACACTCCATCAGTCAGTAACACTCACACACACTGATACAGTCAGTAACACTCACCCACACTGCATCAGTCAGTAACAGGTCACAACACTGCATCAGTCAGTAACACTCACCCACACTGCATCAATCAGTAACACTCACACACTGCATCAGTCAGTAACACTCACACACACTGCATCAGTCAGTAACACTCACACACACACTGCATCATCAGTAACACTCACACACTGCATCAGTCAGTAAACTTCACACAGTCACTGCATCAGTCAGTAACACTCACCCACACTGCATCAGTCAGTAACACTCACACACTGCATCAGTCAGTAACACTCACCCACACTGCATCAGTCAGTAACACTCACACACACTGCATCAGTCAGTAACACTCACACACATTGCATCAGTCATAACACTCACACACTGCTCAGTCAGTAACACTCACCCACACTGCATCAGTCAGTAACACCACACACTGCATCATCTAGTACCCTCACCCACACTGCATCAGTCAGTAACACTCAACACAACTGCATCAGTCATAACACTCACCCACACTGCATCAGTCAGTAACATCACACACACATGCATCAGTCAGTTAACACTCACCACATGCATCATCAGTAACACTCACATACACTGCATCATCAGTAACACACACACACGCATCAGTCAGTAACACATCACACACACATGCATCAGCAGTAACAACCACCACACTGCATAGTCAGAACACTCACATTCATCTGCATCATCAGTAACACTCACACACACTGCATCAGTCAGCTAACACTCACACACAATGCATCATCAGTAACACTCACAAGCTGCATACAGTCAGTAACACTCACCACACTGCAT